AGGTCAAGTTATAACAGGCACTGATGAAGTGATACGTAAACAGGATTACTTTGTCTTTCACAGCGGCACGACTGTTTCATCAGAAGGCGAATTAGTAACTAACGGTAAAAAGCAGCACGGTAAAGGATATCTAAACAAATGCCCAAGTATCTAACTATAATGGCCTTTTATAGGCGGAAGAGTTCTTATCACTGTCAGTATCGCGCCAACCTTGGCAATGGCAGCAGCTAGAGCTACCCAAGCTGCTGAATATATATCATTCGATGGGAAGCAATTTAGAACAGACATCGCGCATAAAGGGATCGCCAGGTATAATGATTGATTTACAGATCAAGTAATACCTCGCACATGATTAACAATTAAACGTTTCAGATCTATTTTGCAGAGAGGACAGTTAACATATAAAAGTAGTGGCGTAAGTATCGACGCTGGTGATCATCTCGTATCCGCTATTAAGCCAGCTACTTGTTCCACAAAACGCGCTGGTACTATGGGTGCCATAGGCGGATTCGGTGGCCTTTTTGATGTAAAAGCCGCAGGTTACAAAGATCCTATTCTTGTGTCAGGCACTGATGGTGTTGGTACCAAATTGAAGGTGAATATTAAGTTAAAGATTCCCCTGTTAAGATAAAGATTTTCCTGTGCATTCAAAGAAAATTATTAGAGTCAACATGTTCATGGACAATTTTTTTTTTCTTAGATAGCAATCGAATGTAAAAAGCACGATACGGTAGGCATAGACTTAGTAGCTATGTGCGTGAACGATATCCTCGCACACAATGCGGAGCCGCTATTTTTCCTGGATTATTTTGCCTGTGGCAAGCTCGACATTGAAGTAGCTACGAAGGTCATAAATGGGATTACTGAAGGTTGCAAGCAAGCAGGATGTTCCTTGGTAAGGTGTTAATTACATAATTTCATTAAAGAATATTTTTGACTATATTAAATAGAAGGATAAATATTTGTTTCCATATATTTCCAAATATTTATTAAAATAAAAATAGTTTTGTGGTTTCAAAAATAAATCAAATATAAGTAAATTATCTATTATTTCGCAATTAATATACAAATACTGTATATTATGCGGCAATTATAAATATTAAATTATAAAGATGTTTTAAAATAATACATGTAATATATCGCCATATAAATATACTTACGCACTAATAATCGCGGAAGCTTATATAAGCACTTTACTTATATTTTATTCGACAAGATATGAATCAACATTTTTAGATTGGAGGAGAAACTGCTGAGATGCCAGATATGTATCCCGAGGGAGAGTACGATTTAGCGGGCTTTGCAGTAGGTGCAGTCGAAAAAGGCAATTTGCTACCACGTGTGAATGATATTAAGGAAGGTGACGTGATAATCGGTCTTCCATCAAGCGGCGTACATAGCAATGGTTTCAGCTTAGTGCGAAAAGTTTTGAAACTTGCAGATAAGAAATTTTCAGATATTGCACCTTTCTCAAAGAGTAATCGAACGATTGGTATGAAATGTTTTCTAAATTAAGCTCTTTTTAATAATCAAGATAAGACGGATTATAAGAAAAAAATATGAAACTAATGTAATATCACAGGTGAAGAACTATTGGAACCAACTAAGATTTATGTAAAAAGTGTTATTCCTGCCTTGCGGACCAATCTAGTAAGGGGATTCGCGCACATTACTGGCGGAGGTCTTATGGAAAATATTCCTAGAATTTTACCTGAGAATTTAGGCGTAACGTTAGATGCAAAAAAGTGGAATGTTTTGCCAATCTTTAGTTGGTTAGCAGCAATTGGTAGGTATATTGTCTACAGTTTTACATATTTTTAATTTTAAAAGTCGCAAATATATTAAATAATTTACATAAATGTTAATTGACATAATGCTATTTATTATTACATAGGTGGAATTAATAAATACGAGATGTTAAGAACATTTAACTGCGGAATCGGTGCAGTCTTGATATGTTCTGAAAAAGATAGGGTCGAAATTTTGACTAAACTAAAACACGAAGGCCCTATGGTTATCGGAAGCGTTAATACACATTGCAGTAATTATTCTTGCTATAAATATAATTAACAAAATTAATTAATTAAATTATTTATTTGTGTTAATTACGTTATATAGATCGACAAGCTAGGGTGCACATAGAGAACTTTGAAAAAGTTTTCGAGCCCGAAATGAAACAATATGTTCCCAATTTGGTTGCAACACTGAGTAAGCCTCTTAAAAGAGTAGGCGTTCTGATATCAGGTAGTGGCACAAATCTCCAGTCGTTAATTAACGCTACTCAAGATCCATCTCAACACATTGGAGCGGAAATAGTCCTAGTGATTTCCAATAAGCCCGGCGTTGAAGGATTGAAACGTGCTGAGAGAGCTGGCATTAAGACAGTGGTACGTTAATAAAAGTCCACATAGTTACAAATAGAAAGGTGGATCTGTTTTTTCTATAATTTTCTATAATTTGTTTAATTTATAGGTAATTAAACACACTGATTATCCAAGCCGCGAAACTTTCGATGCAGCCATGAATGTAGAACTTCACGCTGCCGGAGTGGAAATAGTATGCTTGGCTGGCTTTATGCGAATTCTTTCACAACAATTTGTAAAACATTGGAAAGGAGCTTTGTTAAATATTCATCCGTCATTGTTGCCATCTTTCAAGGGTGCCAGCGCACATAAGGATGTTTTAGCAGCGCGTGTGCGTGTTTCGGGTTGCACTGTGCATTTTGTTGAAGTAAGTCAAAAAGATTGAATTTTTTTGTTGAATTAGACTAAATGAGAAGATAATTATAGCATCTTTAGATCTTTACTCAATCATTAATCATTATTACAATCTTCTTCCTTTTATCAATTAGGTTGACATAGATTCGGGAGCTATTGTTGAGCAAGAAGTGGTGCTCGTGTTCCCAGATGATACTGAGAAAATTTTGCAAGAACGCGTAAAGACAGCGGAGCATCTAGCTTATCCTCGTGCCTTAAAACATCTAGCGACTGGTCGTATAAAATTGAAAGAAGACGGCACTCTTCATTGGAATTAATTAGAGATCACATGTACATATATACACAACGGGTTTATAAAATATAGAAGTTATTTTTTGTACTATTATATCTTAAGCTCATTATTTATATATTTACAAATAAGTTTACAATATCATATCTTTTCTGTTTATCTAGTAATTTTTTTATTAAACAAGTCGCTTATAAGATTAAGTAAGTCTTGAGATATACTCACTTTCGAGTTTTCATGACTAGTATCTGCATATTTTTTGATATTTTTAGAGGGCGGTATTGATAACGTTTTCTCGGCGAGCTTATCCAATTTAACATGGAGCATTTGTTTCTGGAGTATAGGAACTAGCAAGTTGTACTTATCAATTTTATTATTTATCTGTCTTGTTGTAATCTTGAATTTTTTCAACTTATCATTCCATATTAATTCATCTTTTGGAGTTAATGGGAGCTCGCTGACATCATTACGTGCTTCTAACAACTTCTTTTTCAATTCCTCAGTTTCTTCTCTAATTTCCTTTGATAATTGTATCCATTCTGGAGTAAAGCCATTGTCTATCAGTATCTGCAATCGTGATCAACATAAACAAATTAAATTATGTTCAAATTCATTGAAACTAATATCTTATACTTCTATATCTGATACAATTTACCTGATTCAATTTATGGGTCACAAAATCAACGTATGGATTCCTAGTGTTTGTAGCCTTCAATGGCTTTCCCATTCCAGGTAAATCGCTGAATTCACCCTTGTTCATTGCCTCCTGAATCAAATCTTCCACCAAACGATCCATGCCATAACGGGTTTTAATATCTTTAGCTTTTTGTTTATCCATACCGATTAATGTATTACGCTCTTCAGCCTGCAGTTTCTTCAATCTGTGTTCCATTACGTTATCAACTGCCTTTTGGGCCCTTTCTATTGTGTGTAGCCTTTGCCTTTTGCTTGGAGTGCCAATTCCCACATTGAAAGTCAAATAATGACGATGCTGTGGTGCTGTGTGCTAAAAATAAAGACAATTAAAATCAAAACGTAAAAGATATGAGAAGCTTATTCTTTTTAGCTAAACTTCTCGCATTTTTCTTCTTTTTCTTTTTATGTTAAAAAAAAGAAGAAATAAACTGTGAAGTTCAGCTAAAAAATCTCAAATATACTTACCTTAATATCAAATTCTTCCACTTCCAATGTCTCTTCATCTTTCTGAGCATTCCTGATTTTCCGAATCTCTCTATAGGCACTTTCAATCTACATTGAATAATTATACAATGAAACAGATCTACTTTACTTATTTGTCTCAAAGAACAGTATACTATCGCGATACATTACCTCGGAAAATCTAATAGCATCAGCTTCTGGCGTTCCACTATCTGGATGAAATCGTTTCGCAAGATGAACAAACGTCAATCTTAGGGTCTCGTCCTCACAATTCTCTGCAACTCCTAACGTTTCATACAGTTTCTATCAAATATGATTTAAATTATTTCATTAGTACAAGTTATATATATTAAATAGGGATTATATGATATTCAATATTATACCTTTGCAGTTTGCTTAGCATTAAATCGATGCACGAATCTCTTGGATAAGATCAATTCTGCGGATGACACGTGCGAAAAATAAGCTCCCGGCTTGATACACAGCCAATTTAAAGATAACATGATCTTTCAACGTGATATTGTTCGTTGAACAATATCACGTTGTAATTTCTATATTGCTGCTCATTACATAATTATCGCGAAATTATTTCATTATGTACGCAAAATTATCCTTGTCTGTCATGACTGTCATACGCATCGAATGTCATTGAACGTCACACAAAAGTGAAGAATCGCGCCAAATTTAAATCCGCATACGTTGATTGGTTAAACATAAACAATAATTGGCTTTACTTCTCGATTATTAGAGATCAAGAGTGTAGTTTCTACACTTACAGCACTTCACAGTGCTGATGTTCATTTAGCTAGAGCTCTGCAAGTGGGCAGAGTGGGCTGGAATTCGCATCACTGATTGTCAGTTATTATTCGCATTTAAAATGTCAGCCACGACAAAATGAGGTTATATCTTGTTTTTATTACGATTATCTGCCTTCTGTGGGATCAAAACGAACGTTTAGTGCTTGCAAACAAAAGTACCGAGCCTCAGCTGGAGTATAGACCTGATGGTCCACTGGTGATGTGTAAATTCTTGTGAGTATTCAAGTGGACATTTTCCTAATGTTTCAACGAAATAAATATTGACTATTTCTTAACGAAATAATAATAATACAATGAGTTTTTCTTGTAGACCTAAGGAATTTGTAGAATGCGAGGATCCAGTTGATCACAAGGGAAACAAAACTGCCAAGGAGGAGACAGGCTTTGGTTGTGTCAAGGTATGACACAGCTGTGAGTTTTTCAACAAGGAGATAATGGTACTTTCCTGCAATATACACAGTCAACACTATGTATTCATAATCGGTTCTTATATTTAAGATTGTCTTAAGATAGTCTTAAGATGTCATGGACCAATCGTAAGAGAAGTCATATTAATATCTGAAAACATTATTTAAGACAGTCTTAAAATAAGAACTAAGTATGAATATCAGCCATAATGTACAATTTTGTGCTTCTTGACTATAATACATGTCAACACAATTGTATTGTTATTTTATATCATTTCAGAAATATTAAATTTTTATATTTCATTACTACTTATATTTCTAGGAGTGATACTCTGATAAGAGGTTTTAAGATTATATTCGGATATATTCAAACAAATTATGAGATTTTTTCTTTATTTTACTTTGGCAATAATATAAAAAAGTTAAGCAATGTTACAGCTACAAATCGACACTGTGTATTACTGTGTCACATAATGTATGACTGTGTTTTATGAAAAGCATCCAGCATGTAACAATGAATCATTTCATTTTTCTGTAATATTAGTAAACAACAAGGATGTAATGATTCACTATTATTATTATTACTGTTATACTATTATTATTGTTATACTATGTCATCTGTGTTTCTTGCTGGAAAATACTCTCTATTACTATGTCCTTGTTGAAAAACATCCTGAGTAATCAAATTTTTTTGTTTTTTTTTGGATAATTTATAAAATTTAAATAAGACAAAGAAATTCATAGAAAATGACAAAAAAATATTTCCTTTCATAACTGCAGCTGTAAGAAATTTAGATACAAATTATTTACGATTAATAAATTAACAGTTTGGAGGATCTCGTTATGAAGATGTAGAGAAGACTAAGGTATCCTGTACAGTACTGCCAGATATTGAGTGTTTTGGACCAAGGACATTCTTTCGCGAAGGAATACCATGTATAAAGTACAGTGGCCAATACTTTGCAACAACTCTCCTGTATAGTATTCTGTTGGGTTTTCTCGGTATGGATCGATTTTGTCTCGGACAAACTGGAACAGCAGTAGGCAAACTATTAACATTAGGTGGCATGGGTGTGTGGTGGATAGTTGATGTTATTTTGTTGGTAACAAACTCTTTGCAACCTGAAGACGGCAGTAATTGGAATCCATATGTATAGCATTTCAAGAAACCAGGGATCACTTTTGTACATAACTTAGTTTATAATTTGCAAGATAATGTGCGATTTCTTGCGAGAAAGGTCAAGTTATTAGACGTCTAGGTTGTTCAATCCCTGACCGTCATCTCCTATCTCACTTTTATAAAATTTATTAGAAAATTTTAATTAAGTGGAGAAATATAAACTAAAGCGAATAATTTAATATTCTCATTTAGGGAATTTATTTCACACATATTTAAATTATAATTATGATTATTTTATATTTAAATATTATAATTACAATTGTAAATAAATTATTGCAGTAAAGATTAATTTATGTAAAGTATATTGCGAATCCTCTTTAATGTAAGAATAAATATGTGTTAATTTGTATAAAAATAAATTATAGAGGTTATGAGTTTAGACAAAAAAAGGATTATAATTAGTTTACATACACAATTGTTTATAATTCATAATCGTCAGGATGGTACAATTCACTAAGCAATCTATATACATAAGATGGCGCATTTCCACCTCTGAAAAAAAAGAACAAAGACATTTATTGTTGCTCGAGATTTTAACAATTTTAATTTGTATAATAATCTTAATAAATCTTACGTATTCGAAATGAATAATGTAACAAGTTCAGGTGGAACGTAATCGAACACAGGATTGTAAGCATGTATTCGTTCTAGTAATGGTGCGTTGGCACTATCGATTACGCCATTCATTGGTGAAACGTGACAGTTAAAACCATTTTGTTTGCCCGAGCAATGATAAAGGGGCGCCAGTTTGTAGAGAGGCAGCAAAACCATTACTGGGACAGAATAATGTTTGGCGGCTTGCGCGACAGTGTGTGCGCCCGAGATCGCTCGAAGTCCACCATTTGCCATGACTGTGTGAGTGCCAATGATGACTTTGTTGACTCGGGACATCATCGCAAAGATCGCTACATCTGATATCAGTGTGGTCTTGATCTTTGCCTTAGCCAAATTCACTGCCATTTCATGACCCTGCAATTCATTCACAGATTTTTGTCTTTTTCTGCATTCTCCTCTGTTTAATTTCGAGTTTGTCCTTCAAGACAGATGTATAATTACGCTTAGAGACGGTCCACCTTCAGCTACTATAACATCAAAGGCCCTGGTAGCAGCAGCTTTTTTGAAAAATTCCTCTACTAATTTCGACTTGCCGATGGTCATTATAATTTCATTCGAGTGTATATGCTCGGATGCTTGTCGTGTGATGTTTTCTGAGCTGGGGACATTAAATTTGTTCAAAAGACTATTAAGAAATGTATTTCAAAAGGCTGTTATGAAATTATATCATAAAATGATACAAGCCAATACATAGGAGTAAAAAGAAATAGTAAACATTGAAATTAGACTAAAAATTTCTAATAATAAGTGCTTTTCATTTGATAACAAGTTGAAATAACTCGTTCTGCTTTTGTTATCATTGAATGTCAGTGTTATCATGAAAGATAGAACGTTGCTTATGCTGACTTTTGTTACTAATGGGAAGCACTCATTGTTGCATTATATCATAGAAATTGCATTATTTTTAGATTTATTTTTTTTTCAGCTTTGTATATCATTTAGCTTTCTTAATTTTTTTCTTTCTATATTAGAAAGGAAAGAAAGATAGAATACAAGAAGTTCAGCTGAAAAGAACAGATGAAATATGATACAGATGTGATTGTACTTACCATGTTTCTAATTCCGTTTCAAATTCATTAATGTGTTCGATGAGAGAGGCCTTGAGAGAAGGTACCGAAACATTGAAATCTATCTGTTGGTTATCCTCAGCAGTAAGAATTTTGTGCAAGGATTCCTGGGGATACGTCTCATCTGTCTTACTCTTCAATTCCGAAGTATATTCTTCCCTAATGATCTGCAATATTTTTCTTACCATATTTCCGATACATGCTTCAAGAGGAAGCGTTTTAATGAGGTACTTTCCATTTTGCACAATAATATCCATTAAATCTCTAGAAAATTAAGCCTAAAATTAATAATGTAAGTTGCAAAAATTAATGAAAAGTATTTTCTGTTTTGGCAAAATGAACATGTGTTACAACAAATAATACAACAGCTTTAAATAATAATTCATACTTTGCTGTATTCCAGTGTGTATTATTGATAATTTCCTTAAGCACGGAGATAGTAGCCACCACGATATTATGAGTGCCCTTAATTTCTCTGCAAAATATAGCATATTCAAATTTATTTTTTTTCCCCATTTTCTTGAAAATTGAGTGAAAATTATCTTACTCATAGTGAATGCTGTCTGTCAACTTCAGCACACTTTCATTAATTTTCTCTTTTGAATTCATGTCAATCATTTTGCTGGCGTTCAAATATATAATTACATGCACTACAAAGTATCTTTCTATGTATTTCAGAAATTCTTGAAACTGCTTTCGTTCATACGTGATGTGATTCTAATTTCCACGTCTGTGGCCTAGTAAACCAATGTAAACTAGGCCTGTGTCACAAGTAGCAAGCTTGTGTGACAGCCAATCTGATTCATCAATATTGCACATGCGCAGTTCGACTTTCCATTAACCCTTTGAAACATACATTTTCCTTTATGTAGAATTCAGTTTACGTTGAAATTTGTTACTGGGAGAGGGGGGGTGGGGGGAATTCGGGATTGCTGCTTTTATTACTAACTTTTTGCTTTTCGATCCGCCATCTTGGACTCACCATTTTGAGTTTTGAAAATCTAAGTCCAGATTCGTAATCAGCGATTCCGAAAATTCCCGAATATTCAGTTTCATTCTGATCAAGTAACTTTTTGCTTTTCGGTCCGCCATCTTAGATTCGTCATTTGAAATGTCGAAAATCTGAGGTCAGATTCGTCAGCGACCTAAAAAACTTACTGGACACTATTTTACATCCCCAGAACTAATTTTTTAACTTTTTATCCGCCATATTGGATTTACCATTTTGAATTTTGAAAATTCAAAATTTGAGGCCAGATTTGTAATCAGATCCCAAAAATCCCCTAATACCCAGTTTCGATCTAATCAAATAACTTTTTGCTTTCAACATGAATTTTTTCTGAAAAAAATACATTATTTTTTACACTTATTTATTAGTATAAATAATGAAACAAAAAATTAATGGAAAACATACATTTCTCTGCACTTACGAATATCTTATCGAAGTAAAACCAAAAATTTACAACAAAATTAAATTTTAATTACTTGATAAATGCAAAAAATGGATTACAAAGAGATGAGAGAATCTGGATCGTGCTTGAAAGAGTTAACTAACGTAATTTTAGCAGTTTAGTGTTCACTGTATCCGAATATACGGTATTGCAAAAACTCCTGAATCGCAGCATATACAATGGCAAAAATCTAATTCAGCGAGAAAATAAGCATTGTGTGTCACCGAGTTTAGATCCTGCGCATAATGGAGGAATAGGAACAGGAATAAAGATAGCCACAATAGAAGGAATAAGGAATAACGATTTCAATCCATCAAAAATCGTATATTCCGGTGTGTCCAATATCTGATAGGTTGAAATCTTTATTCCTAATTCCTTATTCCTTCTATTGTAACTGCACTCTAAATATTAAGATTTGAACTTATCAGAAACTATATATTTCGATGTAATTGCTATCTAGTAGATTGAAATCTTAATATTTATTCCTGTTTCTAATATTTATTCTATTGTGCGCAGATCTTTAAGATCTAAATACAACAAATCGTTATCGCAACAGCGATAATGATAGAAATAGTATTAACGATAAAGATAGAAAACAGAGGAATCCAACATATGAAAATGAAGAGATCTATTTTCTGTAGCTGAACTGTAGAGTACAGTTCAGTTTGGAACTTAAAGTGAGATAGATATATAATATATTTATCGAAAGCGAAAAAGAGAGTTTTAGAACAGTCTAATGCAGGAACAGAAAACAGATCACATATGTCAATGCACACATAGGCTAGACATAATAAGAATAGATTATGAAGTTCGATACGTGAAGGACTAAGTAGAAAGGATGGATCAAAGGATCCGTACAACGGACGCGTAGCTTTTTCTTTCTGATAAGGAAAGAGGGGGGAAGGGGGAAGTAAATTGTGAAAAAAAAAGAAAGTGGAGAGATAGTTGAGTGTTAGGTTATAGAAACAGTGATATGTTCGAACAGAGAAAGAAAGCTACACAGCATCTGTTTTCTGTCCTTTTTTACTTAATCTTCATACCAAGTATCAAAGTAAAGGACACGCTCGATTTATTCTTATTATGTCTATGATCGTCATCCCTGTTGCTTTCGCATTGTGTTTAGACCTTAAGAATTTCAACCTATCAGAAATCATGTATTGTGGAATACACAATTTCTGATAAGTTAAAATTCTTATTCTCTGTTCCCTATTCTCTATTGTTTTCATTGTGCGCAGCCCCTTATAGAATGAATTAATGAAAGCACGTGTAGTTCAGCTCAGTGGCTGGTCTGGCTGGAAGTGCATTGCGTTCTGTTCTATGCATGATGCACATGATATTTTTACCTTATTGTTGTCATCGAATATTAAAGAAAGATGAAATGATGTATCTTGTACATCATGAGTGAAATCACCGACAAGATGCTATTAAAGACGGCCGATCTTTCTCGTGACTTAAAATTTGAGTGATTAAGTAAGAAACTGATAAATATACTAATTTTAGGATTTATTAATTTCGTAGACATATGCATATAACATGTGTTTAAAACTCAATAATACTCGATTTTTATTTAAAATTATGATTTTTAATGTTATCATAAGTTTGATAATCAATAGATATGATAACTATAAAGAGAGAAACTTGTAATTTTGCAGCAATATATAAGATATAGTACAATAAGTATGCAAATTATTTATGCAACATTTATATAATAAAAGATAATAAATTTAATTATATCGGATCTGAATTTAATCTAACCTAATTTAGGCCGGGTCCGGATATTATGTGTTGCTGTATTATATATTGTTAGCATTAAAAATCCACATGCCATAACGTAAATTATGGAAATAAATTTCCATAATTATATTAAATTATATTTTTAATACTAAGACAGTATATATATATATATATATATGTATATGTATATATACATATATATGTATA